GGGGGGGGCGGCGCCCCGGCGCCCCCGCCGAGACGGCGGCACAGAGGCTGCTGGAGGGCCCGGGGAGGAGCCGGGACAGGGGCCACGCGCGCCACACGCCTCACCTTTTCTCCTTCGCCCCTTTGAGGACGAGCTTGGTGCGTTTCACGCACGAATACTCCGCCATCTCCGGCGGCGAGGAACGCGGAAGCGCACACCCCCGACGCAGCGCCGCGCGGACGGCAGCCCCGGAGGGACAATATTCACCCACCCTCGTTCCGCTCCTTGCTGCGCCTGCGCCGCGGGCCGCGCGGGGCCAGCCCGGGGGCGGCACGTGACCGTTGCCTGAGGCGCGGGAGGTGAAATCCTGCGGGAAACGGTTCAAGTTGGTGTTCGGGGCACGCGCTCCTGCGCCTTCCTCGTCTGGGTCTGACGCGGCTGTAGCGCCTGGCAGGACCGCAGGCCCCGGTGCTAGGGAAGGACGAGCCCTCTGGCAGGCAGGAGCAACCTGTGCGTTCAGCAACTTCAAAGCGTCTCTGATGGACGCGGAGCCCTCGGAGCTGTGCCCTCTGCCAAGGGCAGCAGGCCTTGCCGGCGTGGCTAAGTGACTGGTGACAGCGAGCCTGGCGTTACACAGGGAGCAGGCACCAGCCCCTGCTGATGCAGGAAGAACAGCTTCCAGGGAAGCCTGCGGAGACAGGCTGGGGAAATGAAGCTTTTAAGTCAACCAAGTGCACCAAACTAGGGGCAGAAAGACATCTATTACAGTTTTTACCATCCTGCTAACCATTTAGTATTTGACAGAGTGAAATCTACCTCAGGTGTTCTGCTGGGAGTATAATCACTTTTCTCTTGTATGGTTAACTTACCATCTCCTCAACATGTACCACTACTACCAACCAAAAGGTGGTCTGTTGTTTTTATTAGATGGTAAAATGAAAGAGGCAATCCCTATAAAATTTTGTCTTGCATATATACATACAGAGGTGCTTGCATTGGATTGCTTCCTTCTGGTTTCTGATTTAATTACCTATCTATGTCCACAAGTTGTCAGCACTGCAAAGGTGTCTTCCACAAGTAAGAAATTGGAGTCTTATACATGGTTGTGTCAAGGCCTTTAAAGTCACTGAAATCATGGCTGAATGATAATGTTCTGTATGTGTAATGTCCCAGTGAATGGCCTTGGCATTTTTGGGTGTCTGCAGGTCTGACTGGATCCAGGAGCCTGCCACTTTTCACTGAAATTCTTTCAATTTCTGTCTGCCTGGCTAACATACCTAGCCCCGTATTTTCATCTGTGAAGTAGGAGTTTGCCGTGGAAGACAGTCATCTCCTTGGTCCCTGTTTGGGAAGTGGATAATTGGAAGCAGCAAGTTGCTGTAGTACACAGTAGGTGACTTTATTCGTTTATTGGTTTATCAATCCCAGGAATTTGCACCTGGAAGTTAGTTCTTCAATATAAATTGAAAACAGGAAGTACAGCAAGTTGCAGGCAATGATGGACAGCTTGCTTACCACTTCTGATTTCTGCATGGAGCTGCAATCAGGAAAATATTGCCTTAGCAAATTCTTGTATCTAGTCAGACTGTGAAGGTCGCATGCTTCTTACTGTATATGCAAGACTACGAGAAGATCCAGATTTCCAAAGAGAAGATTGAGATAGCTAGCCAGACTGCTAGCAATCCATCCATTGATTTCAACCATACCTTCAGGTACATTCTGTTTTCTGTTCTCATATTTTTAGAGATTATTGCCCAACTTTTTGTAGAAAACTTTTGATAGTGCCTTAGAATTCTATAGAATGTTTCCTCCTTAGTTTGCTTCCTGTTTTTGGTGATAGGTACAATGGTTTGTTCACTGTTGAAACATTTTAGTTCATATATTAGTACTTTGTTCTATATTCTCATGTCTCCAGCCCTTTGAAAATTAATTCAAACTAACCTCAGCATCAAGCAATTTTAGCAAATATAACTGTATTTGACTCTCATTTTATCATTAAATACTTTATTTTGCTGGTTCTAAACAGGTATGTCTGTAAAGCAAAAATTTTAGTGAAGGGAATAAGAGAAATGAAGAGTGCAATTTCATAGGACTTAGGAGAAGCACAGTGGAAATGAGAGAAGCTAAAAGAATGCCTGTCAGCATTCTGAGCAGTCAGCTTCATCCTTTCATGCAAACTTGCCCTTCAGTGTTTTGGCTATTTTGATGTTTTATTTTGAGTTCTTTTTAGGCAAGTCTGCAGGGGTTCTTTATTGTTTTCTAAACTATAACTTTAGAACTTTATTTGTGTTAGATCTTATTTTTTGACTACTTAACCATGCAACTTTAGCATTTGTAGGCCAATATACATTGATACATCATGACGTCCTCAAAGTAAAGAAGCACTTGCCTTAGAGTTAGGATGGAAGAGGATAAGATAGCATTTCAGTATGTTAAGAAACAAAGTGGCTTGACCACTTTTGCTTAAATATATAAAGCATTTAATAAGAGACATAATCAATTTAAAGTTATGAAGAAATATCTAAGTGAAATATTTTTTTCTCTGTTAATTTGTAAATAACAAAACCAAGTAAAAACAGTATTTTAAAATACATGTATTTGTGTCATATGATGGAAGTGCATAGGGTTTATGTTTTTCTGTTTGTCCACCAGATGCTGCTGTAGCCACAGAAATCAGTGCAGATTAAGAAATTTGAACAAATAAAACAATTATTTTCGTTACAGTTCATCCTTACATATCCTGATCTGGAAAAGAATTACACATAAGCTTAAATTTTTGCATAGTGAATAGTCCCAGTGAATTCAGTTATGCAACTCATTCTCTGCAAAGTTAAGCATGCTTATAAGCTTTCTTAGGATGAGGCTGTATCACTTACGCTTGCTGTTTTCTTTATTTACTGTTCTGTTTTCTCCATAATGAAGAGAAGGAGGGAAAGACAAAAGGACAGAGTCCATACATTTCTAGTTTTAAAAGAAATGTAGGTTTTTTCAGGCTTTCATAATGCAAAATGGATCTTGCTAATTAATATAATTTTCTTTAACATTCACATAGTTTAGTTTTTTTCTGTGGCTTGGTGACTCCAGCAATAAACATACATTGGTACAGTATATACAGAAGACAGTAAAACCTTTACCCGCAGGGCAAAGCGATGTCATCAGTCAGAAAACTGTATCCAAAATGATACCACTTTAGGAAAGCTATTTCAACTCTTAATTTGCTAGTTAGTATTTCTGAAATTAAAACATTTCCAAAATGCGTTGGCTGTGATTGTTTAAAAAAAATAACAGTTCATTTTCTTTATGGCAGTGAAAATAAATGGAGCCTTTGTGTTTGCAAATGTAGAAAACAAATAACTTTTTTTAATGACTGGATTTCTCTGCCAGCTTGGAATGTGCCGCATGTGCATTTTATTTTGAATGTCTAAAGAGTGAAAACATTTGCTGTCTCTCATGCAGATGGGGCAGATTGACAGAGGTGTTGTTTGCAAAATGTCCACTTTCATCATTCAAGTTGGAAGGGGATCATTACAAACGTTTCCTATAGACACGCAGGATTGATGAACCTGGAGAGCTGAGACTGTGTCCATTAATATCACCTAGTGCTTGGAAGAGCCTGGACCAAAACTTGGGCACTTTGGAGTTTTTTTCTGTCTTGTTTATTTATGTTAGGAAATAAAAAATACCTCCCCAAATCAGAGAATCTTCAATTAACTCTCTTGATAGCAGAGTTGACAGATAGTTCATATGCTTTTTTTTGTGGTTTTTTTTTTTGCTTTCATTTATAAGTATGGGGCCCTTGTGAAATATCTAAGCTGCTGACTGATGTAACAGCCAAGATTGATACAGTTTTGTTTGCTCGTTTACAGAAGGAGTGAAATCTGCTGTGAGTTAGAACCAGAGCCACTACATTTTAATTTTTCCCCAGTGGGACAAAGTACATACACTAGAATGCTGCAATGTTTTCTCATAATGTTCAGCAGCAGTTTTGTGAGAATGTTGAAGCATCCCCAGGACGTGATGGTGCATACCACAGTGAGAAGACAGATGTATATAAAAAAGCTAATTTGATTCTTGGCATTTTTACTAGTGCGTCCTGAAAATACTTTTATTAGAATTCCGAATTTTTAATGTGACGTGAAATTACCTTTTTTAAAACCTAAAATGTTAGTGTTACATTTTTAGCACAGGTAAGTAGATATTCGCAAAATGACATTTCTACTACTCAGCTTTTATGGTATAGTAGTTAGAGTACTTGGAAAATAGGAAGTGTTTTTCAGTCTGGCAGAAGCAGGATGGAACCCCAGCTCAGACCCCTAGTCCTCAGCATCCCTGGTTTAGAGACTCTGTGTTAGTTGTGGCTTTTCAGCTTCTGCCTTGCCAGTTCACTCCCTCACTTTCCTCTGCTGTCACTCTGTAAAGTTTTGTGACCAAGTTTTTGTATCTGGCCAGACATTCCCAATATCTGCTTCTCCATACACTGAAATCCTGCTCTGTAGTTTGTCAGTGGAGGAAGGAGCACTTAGCAAAATCCCTTTCTGTTGGGCAGTGAAGGAATGCAAAAGAAAAGTGGAGGAGGCAACCGTGAGTGTACACTGGTTTCATGCAGGTGCCAACTCTGAATGGCATTTCCCTCTCCGATGAAGCAAGGCTCAGAGAGTTGGGGTTGTTCAGCCTGCAGAAGAGAAGGCTCCAGGGAGACCTCATTGTGCCCTTCCAGTACTTAAACGGGGCTTATAAGAAAGATGGGAACAAAATTTTTAGCAGGGCCTGTTGTGATAGAACAAGGGGTAATAGTTTTGAACTAAAAGAGGGAGATTTAGACTAGATATAAAGAAGACATTTTTACAGTGAGAGTGGTGAAACACTGGAACAGGTTGCCCAGGGAGGTGATAGATGCCCCATTCCTGGAAATATTCAAGGTCAGGTTGGACAGGGCTTTATGCAACCTGATCTAGTTGAAGATGTCCCTACTTACTACAGGGGAGCTGGGCTAGATGATCTTTAAAGGTCCCTTCCAACCCAAACAATTCTATGATTAGATGAATTTACTTGAATTCAGGTTTTCTGGTTTCTGCTTGTTATCCTAAAGACTTTATCACGAGTATTTCTTCAAATCCAGTTATTCTTTTCTACTAATTGTTCTGATTTTTATCCTGATGTACTAAGGAAAATTTTGTGTATGCGTATTAACATGTTTCTTTCTGCCTATTAGT